ATATACATAGTATATACATATGTTATCATATACATATTTTATTGCAGTTTGCACCGTTTTATATTTGTATTTCTAATTTTACCCTTGAAGACCTAATGAAATGTTGGGACCATTCCAATCATGAGTGACATACTATCTCTTCCGTAAAACAATACACAGATACCGATACATACTCGATCATTCTTCCAGTCCGGCATTATTGAAGTATGTATATTCGTCACAAAACGCGCTTAGCTGCCTTTATCGTGATTTATTTCTTCTCTGCGTTGATATTGTGAAGTAGGCACGATCAGTTTCATGGTTATATACGAATTTCGTAATCGAAGTCTCGTAGTATATTGTTTTTTTATCTGGAATATTTATACATCGAGGCAAAGAGAGTCGATAAGAAATGGTGAGTCATAGTCACGGTTTAAGCTCTCACCCAATGAAAACTCCATTCGAAAAACCCTGGGACTTTCAAATTTCCATCATCTATTTCTCTATTGTTTGAGGGGGGGGGTGAAAAATGTATTCTTCCCCAGGCCCAGTGGCCAGTGAGTCAGTGACAGTGACCTATACACTTTTGTTTTTTATATAAAAAGTAAATATATATGCTATACAGATTACAGAGTAACAGAGAGGACAAAATCATTTCCGAAGTTTTGAACCTTTCTATTTTTTTTTTGGGTCGCTCTGGGCACTTTTTTTAGACACTCTGTGACAGTTGACACTTCTGTAAGTTGATATGTATTTATTTATGTATTCTCTGTGCTGTGTTCTCAGTTAAAATATATTTATGTCGATTGAACACGATAGTCTCCTGGAGACCATACTATAGCGGTGAACACTAGTTCTAAGCGACACAGCCTAAGTAACAATGGCCAGTGGCAAGAAGAACAAGCATACTAACAGCACGACATCGCAACATGGGGCGAAGACCGACACAACTGATGCACACGAAAGTGCTCGTTCACCTGTGTCTCTGACGACGGTCGCACTGGGGGTTCTGCTTGTTTCTGCGTGCATTAACGTCTGGGTGTGTAAAAGGGATATTCAGTTTAAACCGAATGTAGGTGCTATTGGTGTTACTGTGTATGTGCACGTATATCTACACCATCGATATAAGTTTAGCACCATATGTGAACCTCTTTCTTTTTGTATGTGGCTTAGTACACTCCGTGCGGGGCTGGAGCACTGTACACATGCCTGTAAAAACTATCATGCATGTTTTATGATTCCCCTGGGTTTGTACAAAAACAGGCAAGATTCACGCAATGGTCTATATACATACAGTAGCACAAATATGTTCAACTTAAATGATGAGTTTATAAGTACATACATATGTATACAATGTGCATGTCTAGCCACCCAGTACCTCAGCTCGATACTATACCCGTACGTACAATAAAACGTCAGACCTGTCATTTTGCCTGTAGCTAGTTTTACCCATACATATGTGTGACTAAAAATACCGGTACGTAAACCGGTCTGCAGACAATCACAACCTCGATCACAACACAGGTATATTCACTAAGCCATAAATACAAGCACGAACACAGCCACATACACAAACACAAACACAAACAGAATAAAAACATAAACTTAAACACAAACACAAACACAAACACAAAC